GGGTTCACTGACGCCACTTGATTCGGCTTCTAACTCGTGACATTTTCCACTATAATTAATGCTTTGAAAATGCATTGAAAATCGTCTTCTCCAGAAGCACTAATCTTATTGCTCTGACATTTGGTTTACATTATGTACATACGTTCCTTGTACATTGAAGGTGTGTCATTGTTTAAACATTCAGGGATCTCAGCGATCACTAAAATGGCATTAAATGCTTTTAAATTTTCTTCAAAATCATTATACCTATTAGTCTGAAATTTAACATGTAAATTACGAGCGCATTCTAGTTTGAACATTTGGTGTTCAATTAATTCCAACAATATGGTTATAATAATTCTATTTAACCTATACAATGTTTAAATTTCAAAAATATCAACATTGAAATTTTGAAATGGCCGACCTAATATTTGCAAATTAACACCCGCCATTTATTTTATTTTATTTTATTATTTATTCGTACCATAGAATTTATATCTTTGTCGACTTTTCGTTTTAGTAATATATAATGATGTGTTTAATTGTCATTGCAAATTCAAAGATAAACAAGTCATTCATATTTTACGATGTGGTATGAAAAAACACGTTATTGGAGAAAATTAGCAAATTCGTAAAATTCGCTTCCAAAGTATTTTAGAAACACCTTAAGGATAAGAAAATCATACGATCAAAATAACGAAATAAAATTGAATTACATTTACATGAGAGATAGAGGTAAACGACAACAAATTAACTGGGATGTGTTTTCCAAGCCTCAAACCACGTGGAATTTTCCAGCAGATCCGACAAAGAATATGTTAAAATTTACCCCGTCAAGAAAATTAGATTATCCAAAGCTTCTGGGCAATGTCACCTGAATTAATTAGCAAGGCGGAATCGAAAAAAAAAATATTGGGACTCGAAAATATATTATGTTTTGGTAGCAATAAAACTGTTACCAGAACAAATCAACTGTGAAAATTATGCAATCATCGTCACACCACCTAGTCACAAACTTAAAAAATAATAAAATTATATTGCATCATCATGTTTAGTCTGGTATACAATTACAAGCTCCACCTATCTATTCTATTTTAAACACGCCAGTCACTACAACAGATAACTGTGATGATGACTTATCGAAGGAAAACTCAAATTAAAATTATTTGCGATCTACTACACTCAGTCTTGTAGTAGTCTACTTCCAACACATACCCGACTAAAGGCTGATATTAATATTTTCCCCAAAAGATTTCATTTGGTTAACGCCGACACCTTATAACACATGAACCAACTATAATGACGTCGTAAACACAGGGCAACATATATATGTAAAATATATAATTTCGTTTTTGAGTTAGCCGGTTAGTTAAGTTGCTTAAAACGCTACAGTACAGCAACGGTACGTCGTGTTTTTCTCGCCGGTAAGATCATTTTTTCTGTCACAGGACTAACTTTAAATACGTACATGATGTACCATAACGACTTATCCCTCATCAGCGATTAATACAATGTCTGAATTTAAAAAAAAAAACATTGTAAAAACATTGAATGATACTTTATTCCATCAGAAATAATAAAACCAAAAAATGAAATACTTTTAACTGAGGGAAAAATAATTAATTAATAAAGAAAACAATTAATTAATTAACAGTGATATGATTAGTGGATTAGTTTGCAACCTTTGTGTTGATGAACATTGATTTCCCCCAATCCAATACGCTCTTCTAATGAGATTTGACCTGGTCGTAGCCCGACATGTAGGCGTGAGTAAGCCTTCGCCTACCGAACGGCATCTGACCTTGGGTTTTGAGCACCGTGTGGGATGCAACTCAAGCGACCTCGTCAGACTAACTCGAAAGCAAACCGTTTAGTCAAAACCAAAGAAGTTAGCGAATTTGCAAATTCGCTGCCCCAATACTTTTGAGACTTGCTGTAAGATTAACAGACGTTTTTTTGTTATGACTATAATTACAATACTTGGTTAATGAAACCGGGACATACATTACGTAGACCTAACATAGAATACATATTCACGACTAAACTAAAACAGATATATATACTGCCGTGTTTTTGACATGAGTAAAAATATACGTTTGTTATCCTTTTAGTTTGATATTGTTAAAACTATACCAAGAATGCCAGTGTATGTTTGTTTAATCACTGTATTTTTAGTTTGAGTGCGATAGACTAAATAGTTATGTAACCTTTATTTAAATGTGCAAGTAGGCGTGTTTGAACATTACATATTCAACATTCAGTTAGGAAGCATTTGCCAGACAAGGTGGGAATTTAAACGTTTCAGTACATTTGTCGTGGATCCGAACATTTTTACGAATTCTTCAAATTGTTAAATTGATACTCGACGTTAGGAAATGAAGGATGAAACGTACATGGTAAGGTTTTTATTTTCAGACAGTTTACTTGTAATATTATGTTGCTAACCTACATAATACGACACAACTGTTTTTACCATGGCAATGTGTGACGATTACGTAATACTGTTCATTGCAGGACGCTATCAAGTTGTTACAAGATGCATCAGCGACCCCGGAAAATTCTGTCGAATTTCTAGAACTGTACAGAGCTGCAAATATTAAAATGTTTAAGGACAATCTAAAAACAGTTGATATCTCTGTGAGTTCTTACATTTGCTGCCTATATATGGTGACAGCTGTTCACATTCCAACAAAATATGATTTTAAAATACATTTTAATACTTTAATACTGTTATGAATTTAACTATATTTTGTGGAACCGACACGTTGTCACATTCCATTCCAACAATACGTTGTGTAATACGACAACCTCATTTCAATATATCCATTGACTATTGTTATCAGATAGACGAAATAGATGCCTTGAATATTATTTATATAAGTGGTACAAAGGGAAAAGGATCTGTGTCTGCTTTCTGTGAGAGAATATTGCGAGCAAATGGATTAAAAACTGGAATGTTCAGGTGAGAATCATTTCGTAAAACTTCGACTATCATTGAGTCGACACTAGTAATATGATTTTCTGAATAATTTTAAATTTTCCTTCTTCCCAGCTCACCGCATTTGATGGAAATTTGTGAGCGAATCCGCATTAATGGATTGCCACTGTCATGTGAAGACTTCAGTAAATACTTTTTTGATGTCTACAATAAATTAAACGACATACAGAATCGTTTTAGTTTTCTAACAGTAATGGCATGTCACGTGTTTATGCAAGAAAAGGTAAGGTTTCAGCCATAAAACTAAATAACTGTGTTCTTTTTTTCTTACAAGTTATTTCGTAGTTGTCATATTTGTTGCGTGTCCTGTAAACACCATTTGCATTTACTGTTCCCATAGTCGCATGTGTCAAGTAATTTTCAGAAAGCATAAAAACAATTCGCTTCATTAGGTAATCGCTCGAAATCAACAAATAATTTATTGTTTTATATCATTTCGCTATTCGCTATTATAATTTATACGAGTACATGCCAGTATATCAGATATCATGTGTAACAAGCTATGTTCCTGTTTCCTGTTTTTGAAAAAAATGGATTAAGGCAGGTGATCAAAACCAAACCTGCGGTTTCAGGACCGGTATCCTTGGAGCTCCGGGGAGCTACTATATCCTCTAAGGAGCTCCGCGGGGCCCCGGGAGCTCCGTCGATTTCATTAATTAGTTTTTATATGGATCATCCGGAAACGGCATTCTTTCTGTCTGAATTTGAGCAGGTTCAACTAGAAAATGTAACTACCAAACGTCTGTGTGTTTTTTAAAATTAATTTTTCCTGTTTTTTTATATAGTAACTTCTTTTGAAGTTAAACAATGGGTTTTCAATTTGTTCCAGTCCTCTCGCGACAATCGTATGCCGCACTGAATTGTCAGCTCATGAATATGCTTGCATAAATTTGAATATTGCGTGGAGCTCCAAGGAGGGCAAATCATCTCCTCAGAGCTCCTCGGTTCCTGGACAGGACACCGCTGGTTTGCTAATGATCACTTCCCTAAAAAATAAATATGAAATTAATGTGAACATTTTATATGTGATTTGATCACGAGATGTAATAGTTAACAAGTTTTTATAAATTGTTTTTCTAATTTTCTGTATAGGTTGACGCTGTCATTATGGAAGAGGGCGCGGGAGGGACCTACGACTGCACTAACGTTATTCGATTCCCTACAGTCACTGGAATAAACCTCATTGACTTCGATCATATGGAAATGTTTGGAGACACTCTAGGTAAAATAGCTTGGCATAAAGCTGGCATTTGCAAGGTGGGCAAATCAATTATCTAATCCAGACACATAAATGATATTAACGCAAGAACTTTTGGTCGATTTGAAGAACATATACACGTGTAAGCAATGATAATATAATATAATATAATATAATATAATATAATATAATATAATATAATATAATATAATATAATATAATATAATATAATATAATATAATATAATATAATATATTATATTATATTATATTATATTATAATATAATATAATAATTCAATTTTGAATCATTAATCTTTGAAATGATTATGTTATTCCCCAGCCTGGTCGACCTGCATTCACAGTTACACAGTCTAAGGAGGCCGTTGATGTCATACTAGCTAGACCTAAAGAACTACACGTAATTATACAATTACCAATTACATTCCCCACGATAGACAATTGACATGTACGACGGCGTTGATTAAAATAAGTATTGGAAAATATTAGAAATGCTGCCGAAGAAGAGGCCATCCTGTGCATACATACATTATATGTATTACTTTTACTTTTCATTAACATACAACATGTAAATGATGGGAAAACAAAATGTGCGCTATAATATTGATTTCCAGGCACCAATTCAGCTTGCACCTGATCTGGATAACTACGATTGGCAGGGGCAGCCTATGACTCTTGGTATATCATCAGAAATCCAATGCTTCTTTAGCATTACAGTTATGTAGATGATGGATGGAAGAGCATAAATCGAGTAAATACAGTTTATGGTTACATCAACAAATATAACAACGAACAAAACGATGTTTGTGTTTCGATTTCTTGTCTTTGGCACAGATATCCAGATAATCATTTTGCGGGCATCTGTTAATTGTAATGGTCATGGGCGACTTACAACTTATTAAAGTATCAGCTATTTATCAAGGCTTGACTGACCACGATTATTCTTTGTGGCATACAATACGCCCATCAATCAATCAAAAAACACCACTTCATTGTTTCTGTCTGCGGCCTCCTCCACAATTCACCAATCTACTGCAACAATCACTGGCCCTGCATAAAGGTTGAAACATCACTTCTCTCGTCCACATTTCCTTCTAACCATTAATATGCGCTAATATCACTCGAGGGTATCGTAATGTCACATTTTACTTACAAAGTACCACCCTATTGAAAGGAGAAATATCGAATATTTGAATTATAAATGAATTATTCCCAATGCATTGAGAATAGTTTCGCATTTGTTCACAAATTGGTATCTGGGATACTAATATTTTACTATACTTTATTATATAAAATGTTTTCATGAAATGTAATTTCAGCATCATGACTATTTACATATTCTTTGTTAGATCTTGCGAGTTTTGAAGATGTACCGATCAATGATACCTCATTCATTTATCAGCGGTAAGCAATGATGATAATGATTTAATTTGAGAGATTTCATATTTCTTTTCATATCATGTGTTGCTTACTGTATTAAACAAAGTATACCCGGAATAACTATAAGTTTTGTTTATTTTCAAACATTTCGTCATATAGTATATCAAAACTTGAACTTAAGGTAGAGATGCAGTTTACCTGACAGGTATTTTAATTAGTTAATTAGGAAACCAAGCTGACATCCCTTGTTCACAAAACTATATATTTTCGAAAAGCTTATTGTATGAATTTTATAATTTTGTTAGTATTTTTTTTATGGACACTGTAGTTTGAAATATGCACAAAAATGTGCTTTTTTGGTCATAAGTGATGTAAAACAATTAGTTCCTAAACCATGCTTCTGTTTCCTATCAAAATTGGTTTATGGGTACATCTGTTTGCTATGAAGAAAGTGCCGTCTCGAAAACTCTCTACAAGTTGCCAATTTTGCACGGCAGCAGCTAAAATTTCACTACTTCAAGTTTATGCACAAATTAACATCCAGGCTAGTTGACTGTACGAGTACGATTGTTGTGACACTGTTCAACCAAAAACAATGCTCCGACGGCGTTTTGAAGTTAAACACATTGTCAATCATTTGTGAAAATTTCAAAACAGAAGGTCAAAGCGTCTAGGAGCTATTTTTTTAAAGTTCTGGAATGTGCACTAAAAAGAAGCTGAGATAAATGCTAATTTGCATAACAATTCACTCAGTAAGAAGTTTGCTAATGCTCATAATTAAAATGGCTGTAACAGTTCCAAATTTAAATGTATTATCGTTTTGTTAAAAGTTAAATATAGTGCATAATATGGAGATCCCGTCATTTCTTTTTTCACCATGTTTCTTTTTTATTATTAATGTACAGCCATGTTAAATCTTGCTAAGCATTCAAAAGGGAGAATGTTTGCACCATCTATATTTTAAAATCGTTTTTTGAATATCTTCCACTATTCACAGTTCTACAAAATTGTAACAGTTTATAGCCAAGACTGTTTGGATAATAAAAAGCAAAAAATAACAAAAATTCAACTCCCAAGTGCCCTCGAACCTGCATCTCTATGTGAATAATGCCGTTTTCCCCCAGTAATGTCGTAGAGTAACAGTCACGGTACTTAATTATAACGCTATATGCCATAATACTATATGTTATATTGAAATTAGATTCACAAAATTATTCATCAAGTTTTTTGAGGTAAAACTACCTATATTATTATATTATTGTTATAGTAACAGTCACGGTACTTAATTATAACGCTATATGCCATAATAATATATGTTTCATTGAAAGGAGATTCACAACTTTATTCATCAAGTTTTTTGAGGTAAAACTACCTATATTATTATATTATTGTTATATAATACTGTTCCAATATTAGATTGCCTCGTATCGTTCATGCACACTGATTGTAATGGAACAAAAATGCTGCATCCGAACTATCGATATGTAAAAGATAAATACAAGTCACTGGTAAATGAAAGTGAATGACGAAACAGTTGTTAACGGTGTTTTATAAAACGGTGTATAGTACATGATTTCATTAGTAAACCATATCATGAGACTCTCGCACAGAAGTGTCAGGTATTTTGTGTCAATCTAAATAGCTTGTTTCTTTATTAGATGCTTTTATTGAAGTTATCCTTGGAATTTTATTATTTACAATTCTACTCGTAAAATTTGGAAAACCTCTCTAGTTGTAGAACCTCATACGACCCTTTATTTTCCAAAACTGTTGTGTCTTGTGTGTCTATGCGCGCTAAGACATCCATATGCAATGTGTACATATTAACAAAGACTTGGTATTTTCTACTAAGCTAGTAGAAATAGTTTTGACCTATGATCATTAAATCCTACTGGCCAGCACGTACACAGATAATAAAACGAGAGAATGTGACTTACTATATGGATGGAGCGCATACAAAACTGAGTATCATGGCCTGTGTTAAATGGTTCCAACAAGCAGCATCAGAAGAAGAATCAGAGCTAGGGTACGTAGAGGGACAAATAGCGGTTTTCTGCATATACCCCATGTAAAAAAGTAGACACCATGATAATTTCATAAGCCAAGTAGTTGAACAATTGTCCCCTACACTGTGGTTAACAGATAATATCATGATTTCAGCAGGCTTAGCTGATATTGATATTAGTAATTGTGATAGGTGCATGACACACTCAGTCATGATTCCTTTTCGTAGTCATTATCTGTACGACTTGTAAGCAGTAAAGATAACAACTGTTTATATGAATTGAAAAGTAGCGAAATTTCTTTCATTACAGGAATCGTTGCGTGAAGGTTCTGATGTTTAATGTCACCCGCGATCGTGATCCGAAAGTATTAATGGAAGATCTACTTCCTTGTAAGTTTGTAGGTGCTACCTTCTGCCCAAATGTCACCGACTGTGACTCTGGACAGTCATTAATGGGTAAGCGATCATTAAATTACTCTCTGATATAAGAATATCAATCTAATGTTCTCACTCGAAAAAAACACAATACCTACATTTGGAGTGTTAAGAAAGAAAACAAAAACGGGTAAATGCACCAAATTATTTGGGAAGGATCTTTGGTTGTTTAGCTTTACATTATTTGCTTGGCGCTATTAAACTATAATATATAACGCACGCTTTTGTTTTATCTTATTTATTACATACGATCGACAACATGTTCATAGCCTTCTTGTTTCTCAACATTATCCACATTATTGCATTCCTATAAGGGAAACACGACAATGTTAATAATATTACTAGACATATAGGTACATCAATTAACCAAACAATAATACTATACTAGCATTAGTAGTGATTTCTCAAGAAATAAACTGTCAGTAAACTATGTTACGGTATATTGTTAACTGCACTGAATATATGGGCACAACGTACTTACAAAATTTAAGTTAAATATCTGAGAAATGTTCAAACCCATACTGATCGCCTGTGGTTTGATAACCTGTACTAACCGGTTTATAATTTTATATTATAGATAGATCATTCCTTGACATATCGATAGAGGAGGAACATGATTTGTGTGAGCAAAACAGACAGGTGTGGCAGAGCTTGGAAGAGGGGGAAGAACGTGATTCAGGGACGCCATTACCATCATCTACTGCGAGAAACAAATTAGTTTCAGGTTCTTCGAAATATGTAAGATTTGAATGCAATAAGCATGCTCTGCAGTGGATAGCATGTGGCAAGGACTCCCAAATACCAGAGCCGAGACTTGAGGATCCCAAACCACCGTAAAGTATCATGGAAGCAGACCATGTACAGGTTCTGGTCACCGGAAGTCTATATTTAGTTGGTTGCGTTATCCACGTTCTTGATCTAGATATTATGACAAACGGAATTAATTGAACAAGATGGTGATACACACACGTAATAAGATCCAAATATACAATGTGCAGGAATACTGCGAAACACGTTTTATATGTAAATCATCTTTGTGTTTTCAAACTGATCTCAATATTTCTAATGGTGTATCGCCATGCTATTTAGTTTGTGTATGTCTATTAACTTAGGGTATATCTACCTTAAAATGTATCTACTATATATTAATTCCTGTATTTTAAATTATATAAATGGTCGGTGAATATTTAAAATTTATTTATACTTACTTACTTACTTACTTACTTACTTACTTACTTACTTACTTACTTACTTACTTACTTATTTACTTACTGACTTACGTTAGATTGAAATATGTTTTTCAAATTATAATAGTTACTATTATATAGTATAGTATTTAGTATTTGTATTTATATTAGCTTAGGGTATATCTACTATAAATTTATCTACTATATATTAATTCCTGTATTTTAAATTATATAAATAGTCGGTGAATATTTAAAATTTATTTATACTTACTTACTTACTCACTTTCCTACTTACTGACTTACGTTAGATTGAAATATGTTTTTCAAATTATGATAGTTACTATTATATATTATAATAATTAATGACCATATTAGTAAATGTTATTTGTTCCTTAATGTGTAGGCTGTTTAAATGTATTCTAATATGAGGTCAGCATT